AGGATAACATATAGAAGTTGCTTGTCAAGTGCCAAAGCACAGAACATTAGAGAGTGCTAAATTTCAAATGGACAGCAACTGCCTGTTGTATAAACCTACAAATGGAAAGGATGACGTTTTGAAAGTCTTCCGCCTTTCGTCTTCAGGTCAGTGTGTGTGTGGTGTACCTTGGTCTTTGTAGTGTTCTAGTGGATTGTGGAGAGCGTGTTAAGATTGGTTGGTTAAAACACATTTCTGACTGGAGGAGAGACTTCCTGTAGCCTCAACCAATGGTAGCCACAGTTTACTCACCTCTAATCCTGATTCTCTGTTTAGTGAAGGTTTTATTGTGTTAATGTAAAATGATTCTTTAATTTTTCTTGTCTCCCAAAATTTATCTGTGTCGATGATTCTAGCTTTTTCCCAGTTTATGTTGTGTCCAGTTGACATGGTGTGTTCAGCAATGGCTGAATTTTGTGTTTTCATGAGTCTTGTGCTGTCTTTATGTTCCTTTATTTTTGTCACGAGTCTTCTTCCCATTTCTCCAATGTATGTTTTGTTGCAGGAACACGGAATTTCATAAACGATGTTTTTCTGTTTTTTGTTGGCAGGTTTCTGTTTATTCTTCACCAGAATGGATCTTAGTGTTTTGTAAGATTTCCACCAGATGTCTATGTTGAATTTCTTAGATTTTCATTTGAGTTTTTCATTGACATGTGCTATTAGAAGGTATGATCTCCGAAGTGGTAACTTGAACTTCGGAATTTGTGGTGTAAAAATGACAATCAAACACAATTGTTTGATGAAAAAAGAATGAAAAACTGGAAAAATAAATTATCTGAAAAGTTGTTAACTGTTAAAAAAGAAAGTAAAAATCCACTTCAGAATAACAATAACAAAAAAAACAACATGAAATTGAACAAATTTGAAGAGCACAATAAAAAATGTCTTGACACGAGTACTGCCAAACAAAAAGCAATAGTTCATTAGAATCAAATAGAGGGAGTCACATATGTCAAGAGAGTGTGCTGCACTCTTATTGGTGGAGGGTTGTCGCATGATGTCTTCCATGCGAGACACATTTGAATCAGTTCATTGTAAAGTACAGGGGACCTCAAGACTTGCAGCATGCAATTTTTTTTTTGCATATAGAGGGCAACACTGAATGAAAATAGCTACTTATGTGAAAAGAGGTAATGTCCTGTATCAGAAGTCATCAATTCCTATCTTAAACTCCTATATAGAGCTGGCCTCCACTCTGCTGATTGAAACTTTTTTCCATAAGATAATCACTCTTTTGATAAATTAAAATTCTAATGAATATCAATACTTGCTACTATTTTTTAAAAGTCCTGAATAACGGGCTGGTGCCAGAGGATTGGAAGATGGCTAATGTTACACCTCTTTTCAAGGGAGGTGATAGAAATTGATGCAGTAATTATAGACCTATTAGTCTTGTATCAGTGGTGAGAAAAGTTTTTAAAAGCCTGATGAAAGATGTTTTGCGAAATCAGTTAACAAAATTTAAAATCTTACTTTATTAATATTTGACACTTTTTGAAAAGGTTACTGTTTATGTAGATGAGGGTATTGGTGTGCATTTGGTATATATGGATTTTCAGAAAGCATTTGACAAGGTGCCACATAAAAGGCTTCCTCAGAAGTTAACTTTGTAGGTATAGGGGAATAAGTTGGCTCATTGGATAGAAAACTGGTTAGATAGAAGAAAACAGACGATTATCATACATGGAGTTCAGTCAGGCTGAATTAATGTCACAAGTGGGTTATCTCAGGGCTCAGTATTAGGGCCTTTACTTTTGTGATTTACCTCAATGACATAAGTCTAGAACAATATTCCCCCTATGGACAATAAAATGCTGTTAAAATTGAATTAAAATAACAGCTTTATTAAAACTAGAAAAGCCAATAATTATATGTAAAAAGTAAGGATGCACGGGTAGTAAAATTTGCCCAAATGCCGAGTCTGGGTGTCAACCAGGACTGGATTCTCTCCTTGCCCCACCCCAAAAAAAAACAACAGCATACACAGAAATTAGATACAAAAACAAAATTGATGTTTATTACATTTAACCGAATATTCACCAACAGAACATTCAAGTTTTACTTTCAACTTTCAATGTCTAGCCCCAACTTCTCAAAGCCTAACCTCTATTGTTCTCAAAACCCACACCTTCCCCAGAAATCACTTCTCAAGCCATGCCTGTTATTAACCCCTAATACTTTCAGTGAGTGATCAGTCCTTGTTGCTCAGAACATGTTTTTTAAACTAAACCAATTATTGACTGTAAAAATCAGTACCACGTAAGTTGCCATAAAGATTAGGGCTTAGATGGCATTTTCAGTTACCCAGATTCGGCTGTTTTTAACTTCGACACTTAGCCAGAGCTGAGTATTATCGGGTAGTTCAATATCAGGCCGGGACAGATTATCTAGCCGGATACCCATGCATCCCTAGTAAAAAACAGATGTTAATGCACCTGCTGAACTCTAGACCACAGTTAAAGTTAGTACATCTAAAAATCTAAGTTTTGAGCAATTCAGCACAAATAGTTCAGAATATTGCTATTTCTCTGATCTCGATTCACTGTAAGTAGTCAGGATGTTACATCTTTGTACTTCTTTCTTCCTGGCTGCGGACCATGACCAACTATGGCCTGTGTGCTGTAAACTTGTTCATGCTAAATGTGATGAAATTCCAAACATTCAATTAAAAGCTTTGATGCCATCCTTCAGTGGAAATGTTTGTATTTGGCAGCTCATCTGTTGCTAGTTCATACCAATTCTAAAGATTTATTTCAAATGTTGGTTGATGACACCCTCAATGCTGTGGTTTGTAGATATAGGTGTCTTCATATAATCAATGATTGGATGCAATTCTGGTGGTAGTATTTCAGACAACTCTTTAAAACCTGAGGTGACATTGTCTGGTGAAACAAAAGCAAACGATATGATCATCCTTATTTTAAGCGAAAAGCCTATGTCATCTTGGTATTGCTTTTGAGGCTAAGTAGCTGTATCTTCCCATAAATATTTTGGCTTAAATGAAAAAAGCATCCTTTTATTTCAGTTTTAGGGAAAAGATTTTTCAAGCTGTTAATCATGGATTTTTAAAAAATCAACCATTATACTCACCAATCTCAAATTACTACTGACAGTTATCAGTTATTGAAGCAGAGTGGTATATATGGTTTCAGTTTTATCTGGCAGAAGAGAATATATGCAAAAAATGGCATGTCCATTGACAAAAACATGTATTGTATGCAATTGAGTAAATATGTCAGGTGCAGTTTTAAATGTTCTGCCAAGAAACAAATGTGGTGAACATTCTAAATAAGTTATGTTTTTGTGTGTTCCAAATATTAAAATTATTTTCCCTGCAGGACCTGAATCACATAAAAGGAAATCTTGGCCATCTTTTGTTGTCTTGTATCGGTCTGGTATAACAATAACTTCAACATGTAATAGCACAGAGATGGAATTATGCACTCGTTGTCTGCAACGTTTCACATCACAACATAGATGATGAACAAAAGGCAATTTTGATGCCGCATCTTCAGTTATCATTGAAACTGCCTGTGTGAATATTTGTTGTGGTGTTTCAGCATTAATAATATCCCATCTCGCTGGATCTGGTCATGGGTATGGTTATGCTGTTGGTCAATTATCTCATTCCCTAACACTTTAACTATAGCCTTACAGAGTGCTGTGTAATGATGTTGTTCACATTCATAAGACATAACACTATTTGCTAGATTGTTTTGCTTAACATATACAAATCCTTCAAAAAGAAGTTTATCTTCTCCTTTATCAGATCTCACAAATTCCATGATACTTAAGGGTTGAAATAGAGCTATATAAAACAAGCAAAAACCTGACACCTGACAAGGACCAAATGACACAATTTGCTGATTATGATTGCCTTGAAACTAGGGTACCTGCACATGTTCATTAGGATGTTTCACAAATAACCTTTTTTTTTAATTTACTGCCATCTATAATGCAACATTTCGTCTCTTTTGAATCACCTCTATCCAGAAAAAAGGATATTGTCTTGGGTGATAATGTTCTTGGGGGGGGGGGGATATTGTCCTGATGCCCAATGACATAGATGAAGGAATGGTCAATAAAGTATTTAAGTTTGCTGATGATATTAAAGTTTCTGAGTGTTGATGGCTGTGAGAAAAATGCTGCTGACTTACAAAAGGATTTGGGTTATTGGATGACTTAGACAAATAAATGGCAGATGGCTTTTAATTATAATAAATGCAAGATAATGCATGTGGGATATCACAATTTGAATTATGAGTGTAATTTTGATGGAAATAACCTTAACAGTGTTGTGGAAGAAAAAGATCTTGGAGTTCTGGGTTGATCAATCTCTTAAACCATCAAAACAATGTGCTGTTGCTAATGGCCGGTCAATAATTGATTTTAAGTTGTAACTACAGATATGTTGAATACGAGTCTAAAGTAGTTTTAACATCACTGTATAGGTCATTATTTGGGCCACATTTAGAAGTAGTGTATTCAGTCTTGGTCTCCTTATATTAGAAAGGTCACTGAACTGTTAGAAATGGTTCAGAGGATGACTACTAGGATGATATCCAGAAAGTTATTATTTATCTCACAAGAAATTGTATTTTCAATAGATACTTATCTCCTCACACATTTTATTTATCTTCCTCTACATGTCTGCCAAAGAGACTTGCATGCCACTAGCCTTGAGCAATTCATACCTAATTTCATGTGATTTTACATGAATTGCACCACAGCATTATGATGTCATCACAAGACAAAAGCCCTACACCAATAGGGGGCAATACACCTCCATGCGCAATAACTCCCCCTATGTATTTACTCTGTGAAACTTCATTGTTTGATAAGGCAGGGAAGAAACCTGCATCAGAAGTGGGGAGTATGAGTGGGAATGCCTGCAGAGGTACCTATCAGAAAAATATTTTCAGGTAAGGAAAATATTAAGTTATGAAATGATTACTCACATCTTCACGTAGCAAGAATCCCACAATGAAATAGTGAATGGTAGTCTTGTAGAACACCACATCCCACAGTGGACACAGGTAGAGTACAGCCAGGGCAGATGGTATGAGCACTTTTATCCTGGCTCAATGCAGGTTTTATGTAAGTATACCCCGGGGAAGCAACACCAGCCACCTGGTGTGATCCTATGGAATGAAAGAGGGGCTCTGAAAGAGAAATAGTATGTATTCTTCTCAAAAATGGTACAGTGATTGAAGAATGCCAACCTGTGGAAGCTGAAAACCATCAAATAGATAAAACAGCCAGAATGAGGTAGAGAAGGAGATGAATGGATTGAGAGTCCACATGCCCACTTGGAGGAGGTCATTCAAGCAAAGAAGAGATGTAAGAGAATGAAAAATGTTATGAACCAAATGTAAAGAAAAGTCAAATAGTCTGCAAGCATCCACATGCTGGGACAAATGTGTCAACAGAAGAGTTGGTGGACCCATCCCATAAAGGATGGAGGAAAGAGATCCATGGAAAAAGAGAGGTTCCAGAATAGGAACAGATGAAGGCAGAGACCACAGAACAGCCCAATAGGACAGAGGAGCTAAGCAGGTTCAAATGGTCCAATAGGCAAGAGACAGAAGGAAGGGAGAAAGGAGAAAAGTATGATGTACATCCTGAAAAAGAATGGATCAGTCTGGGGAAAGGAAGAGATAAGTGCAGTGGATGAGGGTGCAAGAAGCATCTATAGGAAAGATATCAGAACAACAGTAATTGTAGGAAAAAGTATGAGCTCCATTTATTCTATGACTGTTCTTGTGCACAGTTTTCATAAAATAATTAAGAACTTCAAAATTGAAAAATGTACAATAATTTATTGTATAAAGGTAAAAGTAAAATATACAATTAAAACTAAATGTCTTGGTAGAAAAAAATTCCACCATGTTCAGGAGACCATTATTGTGCATTTTTAAATGTTGAAGTTCTTACTTATTTTATGAGAAGTAGAAGGAAACATGTCAGAAAAAAAAGAGAATACAAAAGTCCGGAAATCAACAATTTTAAGAGGAGATGCACAAGATTGCGTAAAAACTTGTTAAGATCTCAATCAGGCACACCTCCTGGTACTAGAAAATGAGAAAGGCCATAGAGAGAGAGTCACTTAACAACTAGAAACGGTTGAGACTTAGAATCTATTGACAAACAATTAGGTAAGAAAGGCAAAATGATGGTGCATAGAATTACTGTCAGAAGGAAAGAGATGGCAGAATGACCAACGACCTGCCACAGATGGTGATAGACAAATACAGTGGAAGGAAAACAAGAATGTGATAAGAATAATGACACATTACAGTGGAAAATCTGGCCTAATGGGTGATAGGTCTGGTAAATTCCATGCATGAGGGTGGGGGGAGAATATCCCTCTATGAAGGAGGGAAGTGTGAGTTTGACGCAAGAGAGAGAGAAAGAGAGGGGATAATGGTAAGAGGAAGGGGAAGTCGAAATATCAAACAGACCAAGGCTAAGTCACTAAAAGAGGCCCCAGTGATAGGGCCCAAGAAGGATAGTAGTGTGTAAATCTGGGGCCTAAAACGAGGAAACGAATGGAGGAGTAGTTAAAGAGAAAGATGTAAGACCAGGCTAGGCTAGGAAAAACAACAACTAGAGCCTAAGGATGAGAAACAGAAGACCTGAAAAGAGAAAGCTCAGAGTTGAGAAGGATGGCAAAATCATCCAAGAGAAATGTGTCCAATCAAAGGTAAAACCCAAGGAAAATCTGGGGGGTGTAGAGGTTACTCCTTTGACAGAATACATACTGGCTGAAAGAGGCAGTCTGCTACCAAGATTGAAGCTTTCAGCAAAGGATGTGAATGGTTAACACTGAAAACAAAATGGCTCTGGAACAGGAATCACAAGGATGGTTTAAGCAAAAAAAGACCATGGAATAAACTGAGTAGAACACGACCAAGTGAACCATTAGTAGGGGTACATTGTGTGGATGGCTTAAGAGACTGATTAACCAAAACACAAAGATCCTTTTTGTCCATAATACTGTCAAGGTTATTCCCGTCAACATTATACATATAATTTATATAATGATAACCTATATGCATCGCTTTGTATTTATTATAATTACAAGCCATCTGCCATTTGTTTATCCAACCCAAAAAATGATATAAATTTGTAAAATAGCAGTATCTTCTTCCAAGCCAACAACACTCAAGATCTCTGTAACAGCAGTTAGGAAATTTACTGATCATTCTACATCTATGTCTCTAATCATATAAGTATTGTGTTCCATGTTAATGCTATCATCTTAATTAAACACAAATGATCTTCACATATAGCATTCCAGGAGAACCTCGACTGGATGACTGCTTTAGCCACATCACAGTTCACTGTCTCCATTTAGTTTTCCATGCTTTTGATATTGAACATCTCTCTGAACAGCAAGAAAGTTCAGATAATCTACCTTAGAGCAATATTAACATAACAAAACAAAGAAATCAAAAACATTTCATGGCTTTAGAGGGCTTTTCATTTTTAATTTCATGTTGGTGTAACACAATTGTTCAGTATAGTTGCTTAACATTTTTAGTGACAGTTTTATTATTTTTGTAAACTTTATTTTAGAGGTATTCTTATGAATTAAGCATTGATGATGTTCATAACAAAAGACATAGATAGGGTGGGATGTTTAAAAAACTAATGCCTTTAGCTATGAACTTAGCTGAAATTTTAAGTTTAAGAATAAGATGGTTGTCACTGATCCTTATAATGCTTCATTTAGAATATTTTT